AGTATCAAAATTAATTTAACGTGAGTCGCCACTGCTCCTACTCAATCATATCGTTATTTTAGAACAATGGTTATAATTGACACTATTGTTTTGGTAAAAAATGATGACAGTAGAAGCAGTGGCAACTCACGTTAAGTTAACTTTGACACTATAGATTTAACAGTGTATTGCAAAAACTATCTATTCTGCTATGTAGATGTTGGAAAAAAGTTGGAGTCGCATAACGTCAGGTTATATGAGAAATATAAGAATGTTAGAAAGTGCATGGACACGATTGACCCATGTGTGCCGTTCGAGGGTTAATGTATATTTCTTTATATAAATAGTACTAAGTAAACATTTAAATATTTACTCAATGAAAAATGATAAATCAAATTAATGATTTTTATATAAAAGAGATATATGTTTACATTTAGTAAATATTTACTTAGAATTATTTAAACCAATATTTATTAAAATTTATTTTCTCAGTATAGTTGTAAGCGATTGTAGTTGCAAGAATTGATCACTCATAGTCGAATATTTTCCTCATATTCGACTGTGATTGGTGTATTATTATAACCACAATCACTTGCCACTACGATTACACATTTGTAGAATAGGCACAATAAAAGAGAAGAAAAACAATTGAAATAGCAGAGCCAAAATGACATCATCCGCAGTTCCAATATTAACAAGGGTTTATCTCTGGGCAAATTACCCTTTCTAGGGATTAGATAGCCGCGGGAAACGCGCGATACGTGCTCGAATTTCGACGACGACAGACCATGTATGCTTCAATGTATGCGATACTTGCTCAACAAACGCGCGAGATTTGCGCGACCGAAACGCCGAAGACGCGTGGACATACACCTGCATGTGCCGGTCGGATTTACAACGAGTATGCATATGTCTCACGCGAGGTAGCCGCGTGTGTAACTACCGTATTCCCTGTAACACGACGCATCTGGATTACATCGCGCGCGTTGTACTTACACACGAGATGGTATACAGCGGTGGTGGTGTGCATGCATACATATGTGTAAGTATTAGGTAAATGTTTCCACGTAACGGGATTTATTTCACGGTGGACAATTAGCGAGATATTTATGTGGCTTGCACGGCACGCCATCGTCCGCGGCAGTGCCTAACGTAATGGGACACACACATAGAGCATGTACATCGTGTGTGTAACGTATCGTCGCGCGTCGCGTCGGTGAGTCACGGTTGCTGTATTGTACAACGATGAATATGGTAACGTTACTATCGCGCGGTAGCATAGCGCAATTAAGACTACTCTGGCGGTGGTTTATCAAACGGTACCTAGATTAATAAATTGGTAGACGTTTAGATTACTAAGTATTCGCTGTCATATCCCACCGCACGCATTCGTTTTAACGCCTCGCCCGAACGAATGGCACAATTAATCGCAGAGTCACGGAGCGCGGTTGGAAAGAACGAGAGTTCTTCGCGGCTATTTAAATGGCCGGAAATAGCGTTACCGGCAGGAAGACGAAATAAGGCAAAAGAAATGCGACTTTGTCTCGGTTTCATTCAGACTAGAAACACGCCGGCTTCCCATTCTCTTGCCGTTCGTCAACAACGTCGCACCAATTTGTCAGCGCCTTGGAAGCGGCCCCATTCCAAACGGTCCTTCTCTCTTCAGCTTCAACCCGGCCTCGCGGCGGCTTTCCCCTTCCCCAGAGATTTAACGAACCGCATTTTCACGGTGGCGGTGACACGTCGTCGTTCCGAAGACGAGAAGCCACGAAGAAATGGTCAGGGCTTTGTCAACCTCGGCGGCCATGCCGTCAGCCCTGCCAGACAAGTAGAATTTCCCTTCTCGAGTCAGCCAGAAATTCGTGCACGTCTTACGAGATGCGAGGTCGGTGTGCATAATAGTTCGTTTAATTATCAGCGAGGACGCTTTTAAACTCTAATAGTATTAAAAAAATATTTTTAAAAGAGATTGCAGAATCTAATTAACGATTTTGGTGTCACATTTATAACAGAATGCAGAATTATAAGTATAGAATAAAGAAAATAATGTGACTTTCATATCATTCTTACTTCAAAAGTGATCACAATTTAAAAAATATAATTTTTTACTACCATGAATAAGTTAGATATAAAGATTATTATATCAGTCATCAAAAATAAACTTAACTTCACAGTCCGTCTGTTAAATACTTGTGTTGTAAAGTTTTCAAAGAAATCGTAATACCTTTTACAAGAGTAACACATTTTGAATTGTGTCATCTTTGTAAGTAAAAAAAGTCTTCAACAAAGAACATTTAAAGTTAAAGCAGATGTCTGATCGAAGTTTGAAGAAGAAATTGTTTTATTTTGAATTTTAGTTGAATCATTTTAGCTGATCGAGGCAAATATAAACTATTAGTGATTTTTTAAATTTCTAATTATGTCATTTTTGAATAATTCCAGATTTGTTGTTTAAGGTTGTTTCATTATAAAAAAATACGTGTCTCTCTTAGATTTTTGCGTTTAATAACATATTTCAAAGAGAACCAAATCAGTTTGTGACAGGTCTCTTATTAAATTCTAGTCTCTTGTCACAGAAAAACACTGAAAATGAGAAAATGAGCTAAAACGCGGACGTAACTTTTTATTGCGTCAAGTGTTTTTTAATGTAAAATTTCATGAGATTTTTACTTAAAATAATTAATATTTATATTAACACTTCTGACATTTGCGCAGACTCTTATTTATCCTTGTGTATGTTCTCTTTTTATATATTTGAAAGAGATTAAAAGATAAAGAGAAAAAGACACGCAGCATTAAGACGTTTTGTCAACTGCTTAGTGTATACAGATGTTGTATATCACGTTGACGAAACTCTCGATGAATTCAGATCGAAGAGGACTATTCTGAACGGTCTAATCAGAGATTCCCGATAAAGGATCTCCTAGAATAGCAATGCGAGTCCGAGGAAGTTACCTGTCTGTATACCGTCGTTCGCCGAGGCATTGTTTTCGGAAGTTACACTCGTTAGACCGGACAATGAAGATTTGTTCGCGGGCAAACGTGGCGTGCGAGCAGCAGTGTCTCGTCATGCGAGCATTTCTGAAACGTTGGAGCTCCATTGTGCTCACCGCTGAGATTCAAGGGGTTAAACCATCAAATCTGAACGATATCGCGTTATAACATACCGCGCGCGTTGTATCCGAGCCACAAAGAAAAACTTTGTTCTCCCGCTTTTATGAAGACGTAAATAAATGACGGATGTAAATAAATGAAATACAGGAAAATGGAGAAGAATTTAGCGTTTCAGCCCTCACGGCAACACTAATATCCGCTTTATGCGAGTAGCTTTTTGCGCGTATCTCTCTCTTATTGGTCGTAAAGTTGCATACACAGCGCGTTGATTGCTAATCGAAGAGCGTTAAAATATATTCCAACGTGCAAGAGCCATTGCCGTGTATTATTTCATGTGAATGCGCGCGGGCGGAGCAAACATCCGCGCGGAACAACAAAAGTAATATTTGTATATGGCACAGGTGCAGCTAGCCGCATTGTGTAACAAACGATTTCAACGGAGACACACCGGCATGATTTGACTTATTGAACTTACTCATTAAACGGATTTATCGAAATCCAATCGACGTCCTGTTTACGATGCTTACGCGGTATGGAAATCGATTCGTATAGTTAAATTACCCGTTGGCGATAACGTCGTTGATGACGGAGTGGCTCGCGTAAGATAAATGAGCGTCGCGATCGTGAAACCTGATAAGAGAAATATAACAATCCTCTCCAACCTCGAAAACACCAGCTACGGCGTACTCTACAATTTTTTTTTTTTTTTAATATTGTCAATCTTTTTTTAAATATCAGACGGACATAAACAGAGAGATGGCTGCAGCGACAGCGACTTCGTGATTGATTTAGCGTTCTCGGATGGAGGATCCCACGCGATTTAATTAGCTCCGTGTTCCGCGAGCTACATCCATTAAATGCATTTTAGCGATTAATAGGTAATTATACGCGTCATGAGAAATGTATTGATCAAGGTAGCACAGAGGTACAGATTTGAACGATATAATTGCAGCATTTACATAGAATAACTTAGTTTTTGTAGCCTGTTAGATCTTATTAAAGAAAAACCTGTTATAAATTATGTACCAGATTGAAGACAATTCACTGCTAAATCTATAGGGTCAAATTTAACCTAATGTGAGTCGCCGTATATTAAAACGATAATTAAATTATTTATTTTAATATAAAATAACGATATAATTAAGTGGGAGCAGTGGCGACTTACATTAGGTTTTTGACACTACAGATTTAATAGTAAATTTAATGTTCCTTTCCTGTTCGATATTGAATCATATCTATGTGTTACTGACCGTATTTTTAACTTGTTTGTTAATTACTAAATTTCATAAAAAAGTGACACTAATGAAAAATTATAAATAAAACCGGAAACTTTTAATTTATCTGTTAATATCAATGATAGTTTTCAGAGAAATTGAATCATTGAAAGAGAATATTATTATATAACGAATTGTAAGTATGGAAAAAATTATTATTAATTTACGAAGGCAAAATGGATTTTTATGATATTTCGTTGATAAACTGCAATTAAATTTTTGTTAATTTTAAACGTGAATCGATTTTTTCCTCATTCTAAATATGAAATCAAATTATGCAAACTTCGAGAGACCGGAGAATCTAGTTCTATCCGATATCCTTTACGAGCAACAAGAAGAGCAGGAAATTCGGTTGGATTTGAAGCAGCAATTTCACCTGGATAGTCCTTCTCTCCGATTACTTCCGACTTTGCGACACCTTGCTGAATCGCAAGACAACGTCGGATATGTTGATGAAGTCTGACAGAACATCGGTGTGGCGGTTCCCGTTGAGAATCAAACCCTAGATTACTCAAACCCTAGCAAAGGACAACGACGACGACGACGACGACAATGATAACGGCGACGACAGGATCTTCTGTACCTCAGATTGAATCTGCACAGATCGGTTAAGAGCAGCCCCGGGATAGACCGATGGCAGGAGGTGGGGGGGGGGGTCATTGGGTGAGAGGAGAAAGAGGGTTGCATAGCCGGAAAACGTGGAAGCTGCAGAACGGTCGAGGAAAGGAGGTCAACGACGTCCTTAAGGATTTCGACGAACTCGAACGAACGGGTCTTGGACTCGGGAATGCCATCGTCGCCCGACGTTATCCCGTGAAGTATGAAGGTAAAGAAGGAGAGGGGGGACAAGAGGGCAAAAGACGGAGGAGACATTGAGATGGAAGACGATGGCAGTGATGGGGGGAGAACAGAGGAAGCGAGAAGCATCCTTCGACGAACCACGAGTACCTGGGTTCCCGCGGGATCTGACGCTGACCGAAAGCTAGAAATAGAAGAGAAAAGGCGAAGCGAAACTAAAGCGATACGACGAGAGAGTAGCTGAGCGTGGAGGAGGGAAGGGCGTGCAGAAATAGGAACGAGAGAGCAGACGTCGCAGGGAAAAATGCAAAATTTCTTTCTGTCGGCGATTTCGATCGACGTTTCTTTTCTGTTGCGGCAGTCGTTGCATTATTTATCATAAAAAATTATATTGGAGACTATTTTGTATAGATCTACGAGAGAGAGAACTATGATTAAAAAGTTTTCTATATTGCCCGTAATCATTAGAAACACTTTGATTATATTCATATGATACCGAATATGATATCAGATGGCGAAAGTAATTAATATTGTCGCAATCGATACTGATTGAATATTTTTTTAATAATTAGAATACTAATAATCGGAAAATTAGTTAAAAGAACATTATTTGTGCATCAAAAAAAGAACATAAAATTAAAAGAGCACTAGAGAATAACGAGATCTAAAGACGCAGATTAAAAGAGGAAGGAATAAAGTGCTGATATATCCTTCAACGCATCACGAGTACCTGAACTCCCGCGGGATACGGTGCTGACCGGAAGCAAGAAACAAGAGAAAAGAAGACACGAGACTAAAGCGATACGACTCGGGAGTAGCTGAGTGTAGAAGGGAATAGAGAATAGGAATCGAGACGAGAGCAGCAGTTTCCTACGAAAAACACGAAATTCTCCTCATTTCCTCAGGTCGCCGTCGACAATTCCGATCGACATTTCCTCTCTTTTTGCGACAATCGTCGCGGCGCTTGCCGTGAAAAATTACGTTAGAGGATCGTTTCTCACGGTGAGTGGCTGTAAGGACATCGTTTGGGTATCAAGAGACAGAGAGGGTCGCAAGAGTACGAAACAAAAATAGCAGCAGGCTAAAGGTGAAGCTTAAAACTAGATAAAATGAGAGAGGACTATCTTTCAACATAACGGTGAAGAAGCAAGGAAAACGAGAAACGAAGAGCGGAAAAGCGAAAAAAAAACGAAGGAAGCGAGAAATAGTAAAGAGAAATGAAATTGTCATTACTATCAATAGAAAGAAATTTTCAAAATTTTGAATTAATAAATAAAGTATACTCTCTTTTCCAATTTATATCTTTATGTAATGTTTATATTAATATAGTTTCAAATTGATAAGTTTCAAAGATGTATCAGTAGTAAAAGAATAAGGGCAAGGGTTAAAAGGCGAAGAGGGTAGAATGTTGCTCGTGGTACGACACGAGTATCTGAATTCCCGCGGGATTCGTGACTGACCAGAAACGAGAAACAAAAAAAAGAGACGGCGAATCAAGGCTAAAGTGATATATCGGAAAGAAGTGTAGGAGAAGTAGAATGAAATAGCGATCAATATGATCGCCCTTTCCGCGGACCGACAAACTCGATCCCTTTGCATCGCGCAATCTCTATGCAGAATTCCCATTCTACTCGCTCTACCAAACTTTATGACAAAGAGTAAATATTTAAATTTTCTTGCATACGCGCACAAAACATATTGCATGCTCCTGGGAGAAAACGCGAGAGAGGAAAGAAATTCGATGAACACCATCGAAGATAGCGACAGGGAGAGAGAAAGGAAAAGAACATTTTCGATAGTCAACGAAACGGGATTTTACACTGAGTGAGCCAGGAAAAAGAAAAGGTGAGCAAGAGTAGAGAATAGAAGCGTAATAAGTATAGAGGACCGGAATCAAAACGGTGCGACGACAGCTTTTGCGATTCTTCTATTCTCCTCCAAGAGAATTCACCTTTGAATCGACAACAGTTTACGTATCGCGGCAAAATCTTGCTACGGAAGAATAAACGTGCAGTTATGTCGAACGTGTTAAGGCAAGAAAGGCGGGAGCAGATAAAGACGTAGCGAGACGTCATGGAGAAGATAAAAGAGAAAGAGTAGAAGAAAACGGAGCAGAACATTCTACGACATATCACGGACATTCGTGTAGCCGGGGATCTCAGTGCTGACCGAAAACTAGAAATAGAAGATAGAAGAAGAACCGAGACTAAGGCGACATGACCAGAGCAGTGAAGCGTATAAGGGAAACGAGACGGCGATGAACACCAGTAATTCCGACAACAATGTTCGTTACTGATCCGATAGCTGGTTCCACGAAAACTTGTCCCCCTGATATATTTTCTATCTTTCTGAAAAATGATGAATAGAGGAAGATGCTCCTATAACTACAACCCATAACCCAATAAATACACTAAGTCAAGAAAAAGTCAAAATGATTCTATTTTGACGTCACGAAAGTTAAAGTGATGATTTTTTGTTATAAAATTTGACTGTTTATTGACATGAAGAATCAAAATAAAGTCGTTTTGATTTTTTTGTTGATTTTTATGTATTTCTCGGGAAGAAACACATTTTAGTCAAAATGACATCATTTTAATGTCATAGTTAAAAGTCAATATGACGATATTTAGTTACAAGATTTGACGACCTATTAATGTCAAAGAAATACCCATAAAACTGGAACAGTAAATTTTGCGGTACGATCCATTTCAACATACATATTGGATGGTGAGAAATGATATCGCTGCACACTTCCAGAAAATTTTCACGCATACTAAATTTATAAGATCAGCGCAAAATCATCTTTTCGTCATTGAATGACGAAAATATGACTATGTGGTGGACATCAATTTTTCGTCATACAGAAAATGTTTGGTCATTTTGAATCAAAATAAAATTATTTTGAGTTTCTGTTGACTTCAATACATTTTTTAGGAATTCTTGCCAAAAAAACATTGTGAAATAATAAATACACGTCTCGAATGTGTTGTATAAGTTTATAAAATTAATAAAAAATATACGAGAGTACGGAAAGAGCCGAAATATACCGCGGCGAAATATGCAGCAGCGGAGTAATTATAAATCCTCTGCGAGAACAAGCCGCGGTTTACGTAGCATTTTACATGTATAAAATCGTACGCATAACTGAGGAGAGGGAGATCGGGGGAGGGAGGGAGGGGCGGTTACGGCAGCGCTGGTACAATGCGCGCAAGTTCGCGAAAGGAGAGGAAGTCTAGTGAAAAGGCGGAATAATTTACCGGTATGAACTGAATTCCGTCGTACAAGTTGGCAACTCCGCCCCGACATTTACGAAGGCTGCCAGCGTTAAAAGCGATATTCCGTAAGTATAGCCCAACTTTCGCCTTTGATACTCTTGGACCATGCCCGTTCTACGCGCTCGCGCGCCACACCGGGGCTACTAACAGCACGAACTTTTCCGGAGGAACGAAGTTCAAGATGAAACCACTCGTCGAACACGCCCGAGTAATCCAAATAATCGACGTCCCGACGTGCATGCACTTCACTCGTGCCTCCGCGGAATATCGATTAGTCTCGATGTCCCGATAACTCGATTCGACTCGTCGTATAATTTCTTTAAACATAGCCAACACGCGAAGCTGGCGGTCCACCTCGTGAATACAGCATTTACCAATGGATGATCTGCTATCGTTAAAATATAGGAGATTGAAACAGTATTACTGGAAGCGAGCTGAAACCCGTTCACATTGATATTACGTTATCTCAATGTTATCCAGTATTACGACGTAGGTCAAGAATCCTCTTTTCAAATATCATCAATATTCATTGGAATATTTAATTTTCCATCGCTCGATATTCTTTTAATATCACCTTACAATCCTCACTTTATTATTTTTTACATTATTATTTTAATATATTGACGTAATTCATATTAATATTTTTTAAATAATTGCTTATATTAAGTTTAATATTATAAAATAAATGTTAAAATATTAAAGAAATATTAACAAATGTAATACAAATATTTATTTAATACATATATATTCCTGTAATTATGGAAAATTACTCAATAACTTTTTAGAACATTATACATCTCTAGATGTTGGCATGTAATTGTTTCGACTTCAATAACTAATTGTGTGCTTAGCGATTCCTCGTTAATGTAACTTTATACATGTCGTAGTAAGTCAGAAATGTACACTACAGCGGAGCAGAAACTTCTGCTCGCTAATCGGAAGAACAGTTCACGCCCGAAATCGACCCTGACTAGGACCAGCGAAGCTCGACGAGCCTCGGGAGTCACATTAACACTCTTAACATGGGCTCTCTATCGCGACTAATGGAGGTTCTCGGTTTCAAGCACAGCGGGCTATGGGTACGGTACTTAACTCGCGCGCCTATCTGCGATTACCATGAGAGAAGGTTGGGTACGAGAGGGTGCACGTGACCGCCGAGTGTTTGCCAAAAGCGTGATCCACTTCCGGTTCAATTCGAGCGGTAGCTAAGTGTACGTTAGCACCAGTCAAATTAGCATACCTTGGTGAAGTGATCGAGAATTGGTGTCATCGCGAAATTCAAATATCGTTTCGATAACAGCTGAGCGAATCTTATAAGAAGACAAAACTGATTGTTTTCTCAAAGCTTGCGAGACCAAGCTTTTAATTTACCAGAAAATGCAGAATCAATCGAAAATATGGCAAAGTTGATAACTTATAAGTGGTGCAAGTAAGAACCGCCTCGACAAAATACGAATAATCCAGCGAGTAAAATTTTAGCGAAATCTCAGTGAATTTATCTGCATTTCCTACGGCGGCGGCGACATTCGTGACGTAATTAAATATTACATGCATTCCTGTTAGTACTCCTCCGCTGGTCCTCAGCGCGAAGATTAATATTTCACGGCGACGGAGCGCGCACACGTCGGACGACATCCTGAGAAAAACATTTCGCAAGAGAGAAGAAACTCCGGTCTAGGCGATTCTAACTGACGTATACTCAAGTTAAATATCTACCCGAGACGATGAGAGAGATTTTGCATATTTCCTTATAACGTATATACGAGTGTATGTCCGGGCAACAGTGAAATTTAAGATTCTAAGACTTATTCATCATTTTGGAATTATTTACATTAAAGATTTTAAACTTATCGTAAATTATGAATATTTTTATTGTTGTGCAATAAGTCCATTTATTTCATATAATGTTAAATTTTACAGGACGCAAAAATCACTATAGTGAAATAGTAGTCTACTAGTCTATTAGTCTTCACTATAGTGACAGTGAAATATAATGAAACAGTGTCGTATTTTGAGACAAGGAATACAATAAAATAATAAATTATAACAGATCTTACTTACAAAAATCAACTAAATTTTAATAGATCATTCGTGTTTGAATGGCATCAATTAATATTTACTAAATATAAAGATATTATTTATATTTAGCACAAAAATCATTAATATAATTTAACTAACATTTTTTTATTGAATAAATATTTAATGAACGTAAATTTTCGTTGGTATTACTCACATAAATATTTATTTAAATGTAACATACATTTTTTCTCAGTGTAAGAGGAAAAGCTGTAAGATTTTATATATAAACTCCCATCTTGTAAAGGTTAGCGTTCATGAAATACAAATGTCTAGCACATTTATTCCTCAGCACGATGTTGATAACGGCAATCAGCGTTTGCGACTCGACGATGTCATATTTTCACAAGACACACGGACGTCCTGAGTCGTCACGTCCAATGTGATCGTAGAAAAATCGTCCACGGTATTCGTAGATAGAAGCGCGCTTCCGATTTTCTAGGATTTCTTCTCGCGCGAGTGGTGATCCCGCCGGGAACTAGCGGGTGTCCCATTGTCCGCGTCCACGAGAGCATAGTGTGGCGTTTATACTCGCTGTACCATACGCGAGACAAAGTACGAGAACCGGCGGGAGGTCATAGATCTCTCGATCCTCTCTCCACTGCTCGAGATTCGCTCTCTTACGTGGCTGTTTCTTAGCTATAAATCTCTCACTTGCGGATTGCTTTCATGTATTGTCACACTGCGCGGCTGATTCGCGAATCTGGCGCATGATACCGTGTCCAAAGCGCGGTGACGTTCAAACGTTTTCCGCTAAATCGCGAACAAACTATAGTACAAAAGATATTGACGTTAACTTGCAGAAAAGCTAACAAAACTGTTTTACTGAATAGAAAGATGAGATAAATTTTTAAATTCATATATTATATATATATATATATGGAATTTTTTATATATTTCATGTTTTTTTTTATAAAGTACCCGTTTAAGGAGGTTCTCGCGTTTGATGAAATATAAGACAAGTCTATAATATACATGTAACACAAAAGTTAATAATATCAATAATATCTAAAAAAAATTTCATTGACTTTTATTGTACCATTTTGAAGATATTTAATTCTAAATTTATAGAATTTTACATTCAATACAAGTTGAAGGTATAACCTTATTCTGTAGTTATTCTTTTTTAAATTGAGACTTGCGTATAAGATAGCGATTTAAAAGTCGTTATAATTATAAAGTAAACACTTAAGTTTGTTCTCGTAAAGTTTCATTTGAACTGACCGTACAGTTTACAAGAACTTTATATTCTTTAATGAAAAAAGCTAGAATATATGTCAAGTGGACGATGTGTATACATCAAATGAGCATCTTATAACTTTTATTTTATTATTTTGAAAATGTTTAGTAACATATAAAATTAACAATAATTATGTCTAATGATATAAAATATTGTTAATAATCTTTTTATTTCATTATTTTAATTGTTTTACATATTATTATGAATAAACGATCTATTGACTAGGAAGTAGCGCGAGAACCTCCTTAATTGTGACCTAATTAAAGAGTCGCGTTACGTAATAACTTAATTTGATATTAATAAGTTTTATTTAATAAATCTATTATATACATAATATATGTTACAATATGTATCTCGGTGCACATTTTTAGTTAAAATTCATCGCCCCCATAAAACAGTCATGAATCTGATTTCGTTATTATGATCTGACTTGACGCAAAAGTGATTTATTTTTCTGCAGATTCCTGAGAAGTGGAAAGCCAGATCTTGAAAGATGTGGGTCAAATAAAATTGTGGTTGAAATCTTGTCCGCGCTATCTGGAGCACGCGATAATAAATTCAAATTTGATCAAACGTTTTCCGTTGCGAAATATCCAAAATTTAGACTCGCTCGAGATAATGATTAACGTCATTCATTTCATAATGCCGACTGATGGCTCATGACCTCTCTCATTTATTATACGGCAACGCCGATCGATCGAATCAGCCACTTCTCCCGCCGCAAGTAAATCGTAAAATTATTCACAACGTGTGACATTCCGGAATGTCTCATGCAAATTTTATTCAGCATTCCTAAATTCAAAGTATATCATTAACCTTCTCCTTATATAAGACATCCTCTCAGAAAAAATGGCCCCTCTCCGTGTAAAATATTGCCGCGCCTAATGACAGGATAACGTAGCACCAAGAAATCCTTCTCCAAGAGATATGAACATTTATGCCAGAGAGGAGTGGTAAGAGACGTATAATTCAGCGTAATCTAGAGACGCGTAGTAGTTCCGTCAGTATTTTACCGTGTTTGATATCGCTTATCGCTATGCACGCGTGATAGCCGAGTATCGATCACGTTATATTAAATCGGTCGGACAGCAGGCTTACATCGGTGCCTACAGGAATTTTTGAAGAGTACCGGCTTCCCCACACGCCCAAATGTGTTGAATTCTTGTCGGCGGCTCCCACAGGAACGATAACAGAAGCGGATAGTTGGCACGACGCCAGACGACACCCCGAGTTCTTTCTCGCTAACTTACGAGCGCGCACCATTGCATCTACCAACACAACGCGCGCAAGTAGCATACACACGGAGATACGTGTCTAGTTCTCTCGCTCTCGCTTTCTCTCTCTCTCTCTCTCTCTTCCTCTTCCTGTACCCCGAGTAATAATCCTAACTCGCAGGTTAGCCCGGCTTAATTAGAACGGGGGTTAGTGGCTTGGTAGGTATAGTCACATCTCTATTATCGGATACCGTTAGATATCTTGCTTCACTTTCC